TGTTGCAATAATAATGTCCAAATCCGTTGTACAATCCGGAGTTTGGGATCTGGTCCCACACAGCAACTTGATGCCTTGTCAAGTTCGCTTACTGTTATTACATTGCAGAAGCTGAGATGCGTACGAAGCAGAGAGGTGTTTTACTTCAGCTTTGATCAAGTTGGTGTAATACTCGACAGCCACTGAGTCTCTAAATTTGTACGTTCGTGCTTTGTGTCTTCTGAATGATTTCAACAGTGCAGATTCTATTCTGCTGTTCCAGACAAATAGAGTTTAAAAAGCGCGGTATAAGTTAAACATGTTGTTAAGTGTTTCAATGGATAAGATAACTGCATTGAGTAAAGAGAGATAAGAAGAAAACCACGAAAGAACGGCGCCAATTGAACGCTTAAGTAGTAGAGTGTTTCTTGGGGAGAGATTGCGAAGACGAATGGTGATTTGGTTGGTTCTTGTGAGTGTATTATGAATGGGACGGGAGTACACTGTGGGCCTTATGAGAATCAGTGTGTGATCACTAGTGGAAACAGGTGCTGTGAGTTTTAGGGCAAATGTTCTGGGTGATCAGTAATTACCTTGTCTAAAAATGAATCACCTCTTGTGGAGGACAAGCAAATATCAGTTTAGCCAAAAGAAGTTATGGGTTAGGTGGATCCATGATTAAATTCACTAAGAATGATGTGGAGGTGGTCCTCTATGAGGGGAACGAAAGACGGAATAAATGCATCAAAGAAAGATGGAATGTGAGACTGGGTACAAAAGGGTAATGATTGTAATTCTATATCGCGAAAACCTAGGGAAACATTGAATAGCTAGGCGGTCGACGCCATCGGCGGAATAATAAAAAACTTCAAACTTTCCGCCTGAAGTTGAGTTGATTGATATATGTGATCAATCCACCTACTGTTCTTTTCTTACAGTGCTTTCTGTCCTTACAGAAGCATTCAAAACCACTGATTCCAATTAATGGGTCCTCGACATTTCAGTCAAGCCATGATTTTTAAATACAAACGACACGTGTTGCGGTGGATGCGTGAATCGAGGGTGCACGTTAGATCCGTCATCATCGTTGTGAACGGTGACTGGCTTCGCTTGCTGGTCAATGAGGACACAGCCATTTTCAATGTTGGTGTGCGACTAAGCACTGCTTGTCAGCTACCGCGCTTGCGTTTCTTCATCTGAGTTGGAAACTGAAAATGAGCCCAGGAGGACATAAAAGACACATAACCATCCGTGTAAAGCGAAAGACATATAGTTAAAGGGTTGTTTTGAGGCTTACAATGTATACAAAGGAAATGTGAATGGGTAAATGGGAAGTGGGCGCTTTTGGAATGAGAGGAAGCAGGGAGAACCTGAATAGTCGACACAGTGTGCATGCTCTGGCAACTTTTCAAGCACTCTGACCTAATGAGACATGACAACATGTAAACCAATGGTATCGGTTCGTTGCCCTATCCTTCACTGTTCTCATCAAACCAACTACAGAGTCTTTCGGACCCTGATTTTGAAGAAGAGGGACTTCTAGTCTGCTAATCGCTCTGTACATTTCTGAATACCTCTTCACCAAGAAATTGCCTCAAATCTGCAATGGCGACAAAAAATAAGGCTCGATGCGGTAGACGGCAGCTCAACATGCACAGAAAACAATAGTGGTGGTGGTGTATTGGTTTAGTGGCTGTCAATCGTGCTTTTGACCCTATGGTCCGCGGTTCATGCCCCGTCACCACCATCCAACTTCGATGGTCGTCAGTTTTACTGTCATCCGGTTCAAAACCACGCCTAACCTAGCTGGGCTTTAATTGGTTCCCCACTCCAAGTCCCGGAGCTTAGGTTGTCGGTTTCCATCACTGCACAGCAAGTCTTCGTGTCTATGAAGTTTACCCCGTCTGCCGTTCATCAAAACAAGGTGTAATGAAAAACGAAGGAAGCTAACAAATATCTAAGCAATTTAATAGTGATTACTTCGATGAAGCATTACCAACTAGTCGACGGCTTGCCTCAGTGTTGACTTCTCGCTTTATTCATCTATGCGGCATCAAACTACTTAAGCGCTGAAAGTCAAGGACCTCTACACTATGAATGTCTTCCACACGCAAGCTTAAATCCTCACAACCGTAAAACGGAGCTCATAAAACAGGATGAGCAGGAGTTCAAAATTTTTCAGAATCAAAGAAACATCACGTCGGTGCCGAAGGTGTTTCAGTCCTGGCTATTCTCCCCGTGCCTTGGAGATGTGAGGTTAAGCA